AATGACCTACGCCCGATCCATGCTTGTGGGTAGGATCACCCGAATCATTTTTTGAATCCCTCGCTCGCACCCTTTTGGCAGTAACAAAAAACCATCGTGTGTTTCATATAGCAGCAAATAGGATGCATTAAACACCCGGGTGTCTGAGACACCCGGTGTTTGCCCGGTGCACTTGTTGTTCCGGTGGCTTGCTGCCGTTCTCTGGTAGCCATTTAAAGTCAGCTCATCGTGCTAGGTTAGGTGCTACTAACTTTTTCTCTTCCACGTGGCCAAATACAGTGCATATTTTTAATCTTAACTATGGAAAATATTCATTAATGTATGTAGAATATTTCCGCGACGATTCCCACGGAATTCCTGCAGGATTATCTTCCGAAATTCTCAGAGGATTCCTGGCGAATTTTTGGGGGATTTCAGAATTCGTCGCTGAGAGTACCCCTTGTATGAAAATTCCTCTCCGAGTTCCCTGAGGATTCCTTGGGGAATTATTTGGGTTTTTTGAGGAATCGTGGGGGAATCCTGGAGGAATGGAACTGAAGAGACTGTTCAAAGTTTCAAAATGATCGAAAACAACAAAAATTTGTTTTTGTTTTATGAACATGCCGCCAGGAATCGGACGGGAAAGGAATTTTGGAACTGAAATAAAGTTAACACGAATTAAAAATATTTCAATAGTTTTAGGACAACTAAACATTCGTCGTTCCGATTTGCTGGACGTGTGGCTGGGTAGAGGACACAGTATTGAGCCCCGTTTTGATTGGCTCCGCAATAAAGTAAACAAAAATTGTTTATCTACTGCTACTGTTCACAAGCTTTTACACAGTTCACGGCGCGGATATTTTTGTATCTTCATTACTACTTGTCGGTTGCTTGCGAGAAAATGCTTCTGAGCCGCGTAATCTATATAGTGACATATCCACAGTCCCACGGACTCTGTCTACGCCTACTTTCTTTACACACAACACAAACACACATTATTGTAATACCCTGTAACACAACCACACTTGCCCAATACACCCTTTGCTACCCTAGTTATATCCAGTACACACCAGATAGCAACCGGATGTTTATAAGAATCCCAAAGCCAAAGCTAGTGGAATAAACCCAGGCTCTACACAATCTGAAACTCTAAACAAACTCCAGACAGTCCCTTCTGTAGACTAAACATTTATGACTTAAGTCATCACACGTTCCCACGTTCAAAGTTCGGACTCGCCAAGTCGAAAACAAAAATATTTGATTTCAATAACAAATCGTAAAATCAAAGAGCACTTGTATCCAAGAGCGAATGCACTTGAATCCAAGAAAAGATTAATTACTAACTCCAAGCTCTCTCCAAATTCTCTTCAGAACTTTAAAAGTTTAACTCAATATTTGAAAGCTCGAGACCGAGGCTTGAACGTTAATCAATCCAAATCAATTAGGAGAGTTCAGTTAGAGACACGAAATTGTTCGGTCGGTGATCTTCATTTAAAATACAAAACCTTTGTAAAAACTAATTGTAATATTCAGTTAAATAAAAATTATATTTTTTTAACTTATGAATATCCAGTTATTTAATTATATATATAAAAATGGAGACAAAAAATGTTAGCAATCACATCACAAGAGAACGGCTGGGCCGATTTGGCTCAATTTTTTTAAAATTTGGTTGTCATTGCCAGAAGAAGATTATAGCATAAGAAATTTTTGGGAAAACCTTCTGGAAAATCCCTAGCGGCTCAACAACATGAAAAACCCTACAAAGATCATAGCTGCGTTGAGATTGTGTATCAATGAAATCGACCAAAAAATTATTGAAACAAAAAAATCGAGTTAATAAAGCATTACCAAAGTGAGCTTAAGCAATTGGAAATAATGCCTGCTGTTAGACGATCAAGACTTGGACGACGTTCACGCAATCCAATAAGTAGTCCGAATTTCCGTAATAGTTGGATGCAAGAGAAACGTACAGAAATAGATGCATCGATACGTGCCTAAATGGCACAACTTCGCGCTGCACAAAGACCAGCTCAAGCCCGACAAAATAATAGAGGAAGACGAACCGCATATGAAAATTTGAATCGCGCTGCATTCGCATACAATTCTGAAACACCCTACAAAGATCTTAGCTGCGTTGTTATTGGTGCATTGTCTGTCGTATGTCAGCATTGCAATGCACTGAAGTTTCGGTTTAAAACCCCCGGCTTATGCTGTGCAGGTGGCAAAATTAAATTGCCCGTTTTGGCTCATCCACCAGAGCCATTGTATTCGCTACTATATGGAAATTTAGCCCAATCAAACAGTTTCCTAAAGCTTGCACAAAAATATAACAGATGCTTTCAAATCACGTCATTTGGAGCAGAGGTTGTTCATCAATTAGGCTACAATCCAAGGTTTAAGGTAATGGCGTCTCTTTATTATCAAAATGAACAACTCACATTTTTTCGAAATTGCGTCCCAACATTCAGATTCTAGGGCAAATTCACCACCGCGCGGGCGCTTTGTTAGCACCACAAAAAAAAAGATCATAAATTCCTTCAAATCTATTTCATTTGTGATTCGGCAGTTGAACTAAATCACCGCTTTGCAATTGTTACTGCAACTAAACGTGAAATTATCGAACAATTGCAAGATCTTCTCCATGAGAATTATGAATTGGTCAGATTGTTCAAAACCGCATTGGATTAATGCATTATGACGAACACAAAATCATCAGCGCTGTCAAAAGACCCACTGGTAGCCATGCAAGATAATTCAATGCTCCCACTATCAATGAAGACGGAATGGTGATTGTTGGCGAAAATGTGGACTCACGCGATATTGTTCTTAAGCGTAGGGATAATAGCCAATTGCTGCGAGTTTATGAGACTCATCGGTCATATGATGCTCTTCAATGCCCGTTGATGTTGTGTCGTGGAGAAGATGGGTATCACTTCACCATAAAGATGGTCAATCCAACGACAGGTTTGCTTACAAATCATCACTTCTTTTTGATACGATGATGTTTCAACAGTACTGTTTCGACATGTACGTCAAAGTAGAAACGGAACGTCTCAATTTCATTTGTTTTAATCAGTCGAAGTAAAGTTCGCCGGGTCCCCTAGTAAACATTAAAAGCGTGATCGACTATTTTATGCTAGAAAAAACAGCAGTCTAAATAATTTGACAGACGTCTTCCACAGAGCTCTGGATTCTTCCGATCCGTATCTATCCGGAATCTCTTTACACAAAAACTCAAGGGTACAACCTCTTATGTACCCTGTTTATGAAAAAAAACTAAGTAAAAATGAAAATACTGCCAACTGCTAATGTGGGCGGCAGGCATAGGCGTGGTCAAATTTCTAAAACGACAAAATTCGAAATTCGAGAAAAATAGTTCAAGCATATGTGCAAAATTTGAGGCCATTATCTCTAAAATTGGAGTTTATGCCAAAAAAAAAGAAATTTCCGTCCAATGCGCATTGTCTAGAATAATGCTATTAAGCTATGACCAAAATAAAGAGGCATATTTTTTTTTTTACTTTTAGCATTGTCCTACCGTTATCCTTCGCATTTCTCTTTACGTAGCTAAATAGATCAAGCTATGCGATAAAAAAATTTAAGAAAATTGGTCAACAACAACAAGAATAACAATTAAAACAAGAAATGAAGCTAACTTCGGCAAGCCGATGTTTGTATACCCTTGCAGATTGGTTTCGATGTTTATATTATAGGTTTAAATGCTGAAAACACTCACAAAGCAAAGTTTCATTACATTTTACCTATACTTATTATGTTTACAGTTTGCAAGTTACAGTTTTACATTCCCAGCCTTACATTTTCCCTACATCTACCGATCGCTCCTATGGCAGCTATATGATATAGTTGTCCGATTTTTATGAAATTTATACCAAATTTCTAGAATAATAAAAAAAGCTTATATCTCAGAGTAGATAAACATACGATAAAAAACAAGGAAGCTATAATTTTTTTTCCTATTTATTTCTCGATCGTTCCTATGGCAGCTATATCATATAGTCGTCCGATTTTCATAAAATTCTTACCAAAATTCTAAAATAATATAAAAAAGCCATATCTATAAAATGGTGCAAAAATGTTGAAAAACAGCAAAGTTATAATTTTTTTTCTACAAATATATCGAACATTTGTATGGCAGCTATATGATATAGTCGTCCGATCCGGCCCGTTCTGACATATATAGCAGTGAGAGCATATAGAAGACTATATGCAAAGTTTCATTCAGATAGCTTTAAAACTGAGGGACTAGTTTGCGTAGAAACAGACAGACGGACAGACGGACAGACAGACAGACGGACAGACGGACATGGCTAGATCGACTCGGCTGTTGATGCTGAACAAGAATATATATACTTTATAGGGTCGGAAACGTCTCCTTCACTGCGTTGCAAACTTCTGACTGAAATTATAATACCCTGCAAGGTTATAAAAAGTTGGGATGTGCAAATAATATTCCATTTGTGTAAATACTTTTGACTACATCTATACCAGAGATGGGCATGCCGTGGCTCAATTTGCTCTCACTGCTCAAACCGTTATCTTTTTCGGAGGCGCCAGCAAGTCGTGCCATATGTTCGGTGCTCGCGATCAGCGAACCGTGAAGATTTACAAAAACAACGACACTGACTTTTGGCGCAGGTAGCAAGCACATCGCGATCTAGAGTTTGCAACAACACAACCCGTCGCGATGCTGGGGGTTGTTGTTGTTTTTTTTTCTGGCCTAGCTGCTACCCAAGCCGTTAGATCTCATGCCCGTCTCTGATCTATACAATACAATATTGAACAACAGATCATCATTATTCAGAAATTTGAATTCTATTAATTCTGCACTATGGTTTACTGACTTCGCCTTCAATAGGCTCGAAATGTTTTTCGATATATACTCGTACGTGATCTTACCTATGTTAGCGAATGATAAATCTTCATGTTTTTATAATTAGATAAAGTATCCTATTTTAAAACCTACATTTTTTAAATATTTAATCACTTTTCCATTACAGACTTTAACAACAGCTTTCCGGCAGCATGACACTGACATGGATGGGGTCATCACAATACATTATGAACAGTTTTTAAGTATGGTGTTTTCATTAAAAATATAATTATAACTTATCAAATATATGACAATAAAAGAGTGTATAAAAAATATAACATTATATTATATATATATTATATGGTTTGTATTACATTTCAAGGGTATATTTGTATTAGTCCCAAGTGGTGGATATATATTTCAAGATATTCTGGTAGTGTTTCTACGACCAAATCCTATTAAAGTTTATTTTTTAATGTATTGTAGACTAGTCTTCCGGATTTACGATCGGCCCGCAAAATTCGTTGTCCTAGAAACTCGGGTTTCTGCAAGCCCTTTGAATATTATGTGTCGCGTGTACGCGCACAAATATATATTAATCATAGCCGTATGACACTGGCGCATTAATCAGAGACTTCATTAAAAATTTGGCAGCGCTATAGCGTTTTACACAAGTGCGAGCAAGACGACTAAATGGCGCTCTAATGCATTAAAATAATGCATTAACTACTTCATTGCCGCGATAATCGATAGATCTACATAAAATATACTAGATACTCGATAACAAAATACGGGTTTAAGGGGGTCTTCTCATTCAAAAGCCGTTTTTTGGACCCTTTTAAAAAAAATCTTATTTGAAAACGCAAAGAATAATTGAAAACTTTTTTTATTTATTGTATTCAAAAATGTTCAAAGTAACGAGGGTTGTTCAAAGTGTAATGAGACTTCAAACTTGGTGGTCGAAAAAAAAGGTGTCGTCCTGGCGGCCACGATTCAGGGTCTCCAGAGCGTCCGAAATGCAAAAAAAAAAAAACGGGGTTATATGCAGAATAGATGTCATTTTCGGGTGAAGGAACAGATTAAAAAAAAAATTTTTTTAAACAAAATGGCCATTCAAAAAAAACAATTTCGATTTCGGGCTTTTTTTTTTGTAGTTTAGTGTAAAAAAAATATATAAAAAAAAAATTTTTTTAAAACTGTTCCGTCACCCGAGAATGGTGACAATTCTGCGTCGATTCCACTTTGTTTCATGAAAATCGGTTCAGTTGAACTGGAGATATCATGGCCGCCAGTTCGAAAAACGTGGTTTCGAGATAAACGCGTTTGAAGTTTGAAAAAAAGCTCATTTTGCGAAGACCTTGCTTCACAAAAAAGGCTGTATCTTCTAAAGTATTTCGAATTTCTAAAAATCATTTTGGGGACATATACACAACATCCCAAGCTATAAATAAATGCAAAAAAAAATCGAAAAAAAGTTTCCCAATGAGAAGACCCCCTTAAGGGGTTAAATACCTTTTTGAGCGAAAAAATTGAGGGAACTTTCGATTTTTTTCAGGTGTGTAGCAATTATTTTATGACACTGAAGTTATTATTTATTGATAGTACATGTTTTTATCGAAACAACAAGCGTTTGTTCTTGAAAAAATATAAATAATTTACGAAGCTATGGCAATTCTCTCGGAACCCTTTTTTTTATAGCGGCTTGCGGTGACCACGATGAAAGTCCAGCAGGTCAAGTGAAATAAAAAACCAAAAAAATTCTATTAGTATAGTATTATATCCAGTTCGTGAACGATTATTTTCAAGATTATTTGGTTTTTTCTGCATACAGTAACGATTTTTCGAATTCTAAAAATGTTATTAAAAAATTCTGATCTGCAAAATCAAAATGCAATCTGCAAAACTGAATCGTTCACGAACTCGGCACAATCATTACGAATAATTAAAAAAAAAAATGAAGAAGATCGATCAAATAGTTCTTGTGCAATCGCGGTCACCGCAAAAGCACTTTTGGAAAAACACGACTTTGAGATAATCGCATTCAAAGTTTTACGTTGAGTATATGCAACTATTGAAGTCGCGCCTCAAAACGCTGTTTTCCAATCGAACTATTATTCGGATCTCTATGAAAATTTGGGATAATGTTCTCTAGGGGATATACTTTAGGATTCAGGAAAAAAAAAAATTTTCGTTTTTTTGAAAAAAAAGGTATATAACCCCTTAATGAAGAAAATTTTAATTGAAAAGTGTATTAGCCAGTTTATTAGAGCGCGAGACTCAAATTGGTCTCGCAATGAGAATTTTATTTTTATATTATTTCACTGGTTTTTGAACTGAAAAAATATTAGAAAATTAGGAAAAATAATATGTTTTTGATGGCAAGGAAAAATATTAGAAAATTAGGAAGAATAATATGTTTTTGATGGCAAGGTTCTTGCGCTGTAAAATTAATTTAAATATATATTTTTTTTAATTGAAAAAATTGAAGGCATTATAGGTTAAAAACATATATTTAAAGGTTTCCGCATTCATTTATGTGTGAATACTTCGACGTGGACTTCAGAAATTCATAGTAATACGTCTCGAATGGCGGTAGATTTTATTGTTTACCTTTTACGGTCGGTGTGACCGTAGTCGTATTACCAAAATAATCCAAGCAAAATTACACATATAGTGTTCTCTTTCAAGGTTCTAATGAAGTATCTAATTAATGAAAACTGCATTAGAGTGTCATACGGCCATTAGAAATGGAATAGGATAGGAACAATAGCGACATAGGAAAATGGATCGGCGACATTATGAAAAATATATGAATTGAATGCGCGCGTGCGCTACACACTGACCGAACGATTGCTGGCCACACTATTAGGGCAAATCCCGCAGAGACTCTGGGCACACTATCTGCTCAATTTCGACTTTCGAGTTCGACAACAACGGGGGTCGGTTGACTTACGAGTCCGGAGTCCGGACATATCCCCTCGGTTCCAAACGCATTCGCTCGTGGATGACTTTCGAGACCGAATAACCTATCTTCTGGCGGAACTATTGGTATCTTCCCTACCGGAAAGCCGAAAATTAGGACGGGACCCGGCATGAAATTATTAAGAATTCTACCTTTTAAGTCAATAAACATTAAGAAAAATGTTACGGCATAATTCTCTAGCGTTCTACTCTGGGACTGGGTCGGAATCTCTTATAGCAACCACGCCAGAACCAAATTAATTCCTGAACGGACCCTGGCTGTCCCGCGAGCTATCCGAGGATCGACAGACCGTCACAATTATATTAAATTTCCTTTCCAATTTTCCATTCTGCGACGATGCCCTACATGTATTTATATACGATTTTAAAACTTTAAACGCGTTTTTCTCAAAACCACTTTTTTTGAGTCGGCCGGATACATAACTCGAACAAATCTTAACCGATCGATCTGAAATTTTGACAGTATATTCAAAATAAATTTGTCTATCAAAGTGCGATCACGTGCGATTTTGTGCTTACTATTTTTTTTATCAACAATTTTGTGACTTTTTCGTGATATTTAAAAAAATTTTTTAATCACTCAACATTTTGCAAAAAATCAATATAGCTGTTGATGTATAGAAACTAACAAAACTAGATTTTTTGTTCTAGATCAAAAATTAAAGACGTAAGCTTTCCGGCCACGGACCCTCTTCAAAAAAAAAGGGCCTAGAAAGAAACTGTGACAAAGAGCTCCAAGACTACGAATTCCGTCGATGTAAGGACTCTAAATGTCAATGAGCTGCTACAAAAGAAAATTTAACTGTTCCCGAAAGACACATTCATGCTACCACACAGTCTTTCAACTATTGAGCATCATCATATCGCCATTTATGTGGGACTAATATTCGTAATGATTATTCATTTCGTTAAAAAATGGCAAGTAGTTCAACAAAATCAACGAGGCCATACCACGTCTGCAACTACGACTACTCTCGCAACTTAACCGTTTAAAAAGATTCAAAATGATCGAAAACAACAATTTCTTTTTGTTTTATGAACATGCCGCCAGGAATCGGACGGGAAAGGAATTTTGGAACTGAAATAAAGTTCCGATTTGCTGGACGTGTGGCTGGGTAGAGGACACAGTATTGAGCCCCGTTTTGATTGGCTCCGCAATAAAGTAAACAAAACTTGTTTATCTACTGCTACTGTTCACAAGCTTTTACACAGTTCACGGCGCGGATATTTTTGTATCTTCATTACTACCTGTCGGTTGCTTGCGAGAAAATGCTTCTGAGCCGCGTAATCTATATAGTGACATATCCACAGTTCCACGGACTCTGTCTACGTCTACTTTCTTTACACACAACACAAACACACATTATTGTAATACCCTGTAACACAACCACACTTGCCCAATACACCCTTTGCTACCCTAGTTATATCCAGTACACACCAGATAGCAACCGGATGTTTATAAGAATCCCAAAGCCAAAGCTAGTGGAATAAACCCAGGCTCCACACAAAGGATGCAATCTGAAACTCTAAACAAACTCCAGACAGTCCCTTCTGTAGACTAAACATTTATGACTTAAGTCATCACACGTTCCCACGTTCAAAGTTCGGACTCGCCAAGTCGAAAACAAAAATATTTGATTTCAATAACAAATCGTAAAATCAAAGAGCACTTGTATCCAAGAGCGAATGCACTTGAATCCAAGAAAAGATTAATTACTAACTCCAAGCTCTCTCCAAATTCTCTTCAGAACTGTAAAAGTTTAACTCAATATTTGAAAGCTCGAGACCGAGGCTTGAACGTTAATCAATCCAAATCAATTAGGAGAGTTCAGTTAGAGACACGAAATTGTTCGGTCGGTGATCTTCATTTAAAATACAAAACCTTTGTAAAAACTAATTGTAATATTCAGTTAAATAAAAATTATATTTTTTTTAACTTATGAATATCCAGTTATTTAATTATATATATAAAAATGGAGACAAAAAATGTTAGCAATCACATCACAAGAGAACGGCTGGGCCGATTTGGCTCAATTTTTTTAAAATTTGGTTGTCATTGCCAGAAGAAGATTATAGCATAAGAAATTTTTGGGAAAACCTTCTGGAAAATCCCTAGCGGCTCAACAACATGAAAAACCCTACAAAGATCATAGCTGCGTTGAGATTGTGCATCAATGAAATCGACCAAAAAATTATTGAAACAAAAAAATCGAGTTAATAAAGCATTACCAAAGTGAGCTTAAGCAATTGGAAATAATGCCTGCTGTTAGACGATCAAGACTTGGACGACGTTCACGCAATCCAATAAGTAGTCCGAATTTCCGTAATAGTTGGATGCAAGAGAAACGTACAGAAATAGATGCATCGACACGTGCCTAAATGGCACAACTTCGCGCTGCACAAAGACCAGCTCAAGCCCGACAAAATAATAGAGGAAGACGAACCGCATATGAAAATTTGAATCGCGCTGCATTCGCATACAATTCTGAAACACCCTACAAAGATCTTAGCTGCGTTGTTATTGGTGCATTGTCTGTCGTATGTCAGCATTGCAATGCACTGAAGTTTCGGTTTAAAACCCCCGGCTTATGCTGTGCAGGTGGCAAAATTAAATTGCCCGTTTTGGCTCATCCACCAGAGCCATTGTATTCGCTACTATATGGAAATTACCCCAATCAAACAGTTTCCTAAAGTGTAACGGCCAGGAGTTCGAATATCTAAAAGCTTAAAAAGTTTTTTTATAGCTGATTTAAAAAAAAAAATTAGCTATATTAAAATCTGGCATCGCTGAAAAAACAAATGAATTATCTTAAGCTTGCTCTCTTAAGGCAGCTGCATTGATAAGCGCAGCCAACTTTGGTCCAGACAAAGCTTTTCGAGCTTATCTATATAAACCACCCACGCGGCTATATTCGATCTTTTCCGACCAATATAATAAAACTTCGCAGACATCGATCTTGTGTTTTGTGCAGTGAAAAATAAAAATTCAGGTTAAATCCGTTTGCGCACATTTTTTTTATACACAATTATTATTGCACCCAAGCGCGTAAATAAATTGCGCCCAAGCGCTTTATTTAATAAATTGTGCCAACGGTTGAAAAAGTGCTTTCAGTTTTCGGGAGAAAAATTTTCTTCTTGGCTTCAATTTCGAGTTGGCCAATGAAAACTTCCTGGACCGCTCGCCAGGAAAACTGCAAATAATCTTTGCAGCCTTTTCTGAAAGGTATGTGTTTTTTTAAACGGCAGAATTAAATTGCGTTTTTCTAACGCCAAATTTATTTCATATTAGTGTTGCCTTTGGAAGCTGAAAAACCCTCCCGACTACGGGAAATAGAGAGAACTACATTGAAAAAATCTAAAGTGAGGAAAACCGTCCAATTGGATCCCGGTTTGAGGAAAAGTCAACCCGAAATCCGCACCTGGCCAGCCCCTAAATCCGCACCTGTACCCAGCAGCGAAAAGCACAGGGCAGCGGTAGCGCTTGGTCCAGCGACGTCGGCAGAGGCAGAGCAGAGGAATGATAAGGCGGAGGCAGCGATCGCACCACGCGTTTTAGGAAAAGGGTTTTGTTGTAAAAAAGTGGTTGTTGTTTTTCTAAGCTTGTTTTGCATTTGATTTTCTTTTGTTCTCTTTTGCTCGGCAAATGCATAAAAAGTAAAGAGTGTTGCGACGTAGAAATGACCTACAATTAAATTAAATTAAAATGCCAAATTAAAGTCGATAGAAATTTTTTTTTCATTCTTACGCTAACTTAAAGTTTCAGTAATTAAAAAAAATATATATATTACATATGAGAAGTTAAATTCAATTTTTTAAAGCTTTTGCCCCCCTTAAGCCTTATGATCATCATGTAACCCCGCTGGAAGGCCTTTCAACGATGGAAAAGTAAACGTGTGAGTAATGCCTTGAACAAAAAAATATATATACATATATATATATAGCTAGCTTTAAGTTGAAATTATCTTCTCCAAAATATTGCGTGAATTAAGTATTAATAATAAATAATGAAATAATTGTTTTGATACACCGAAAAAAAAGAACCGCAATGAATTTATGCAATTAAATTTAGAATTGATAATTGATCTACACTGAAAAAAAAAACATTTTTTTAATTAATTAATTAAAATGTAGTCTATATAAAAAAAAATATATATATAAATATATATATAACAAAATTATTAGAAATACATATTGAAGCAATTAAAGTAAGGAAATAAAGTAATAGTAATATATTCAACCAATTAAAAATGCCATAGATAAGCTTTTTAATTAAAATTAAAATATTGAATTCCGTCGATGTAAGGACTCTAAATATCAATGAGCTGCTACAAAAGAAAATTTAACTGTTCCCGAAAGACACATTCATGCTACCACACAGTCTTTCAACTATTGAGCATCATCATATCGCCATTTATGTGGGACTAATATTCGTAATGATTATTCATTTCGTTAAAAAATGGCAAGTAGTTCAACAAAATCAACGAGGCCATACCACGTCTGCAACTACGACTACTCTCGCAACTTAACCGTTTAAAAAGATTCAAAATGATCGAAAACAACAATTTCTTTTTGTTTTATGAACATGCCGCCAGGAATCGGACGGGAAAGGAATTTTGGAACTGAAATAAAGTTCCGATTTGCTGGACGTGTGGCTGGGTAGAGGACACAGTATTGAGCCCCGTTTTGATTGGCTCCGCAATAAAGTAAACAAAACTTGTTTATCTACTGCTACTGTTCACAAGCTTTTACACAGTTCACGGCGCGGATATTTTTGTATCTTCATTACTACCTGTCGGTTGCTTGCGAGAAAATGCTTCTGAGCCGCGTAATCTATATAGTGACATATCCACAGTTCCACGGACTCTGTCTACGCCTACTTTCTTTACACACAACACAAACACACATTATTGTAATACCCTGTAACACAACCACACTTGCCCAATACACCCTTTGCTACCCTAGTTATATCCAGTACACACCAGATAGCAACCGGATGTTTATAAGAATCCCAAAGCCAAAGCTAGTGGAATAAACCCAGGCTCCACACAAAGGATGCAATCTGAAACTCTAAACAAACTCCAGACAGTCCCTTCTGTAGACTAAACATTTATGACTTAAGTCATCACACGTTCCCACGTTCAAAGTTCGGACTCGCCAAGTCGAAAACAAAAATATTTGATTTCAATAACAAATCGTAAAATCAAAGAGCACTTGTATCCAAGAGCGAATGCACTTGAATCCAAGAAAAGATTAATTACTAACTCCAAGCTCTCTCCAAATTCTCTTCAGAACTTTAAAAGTTTAACTCAATATTTGAAAGCTCGAGACCGAGGCTTGAACGTTAATCAATCCAAATCAATTAGGAGAGTTCAGTTAGAGACACGAAATTGTTCGGTCGGTGATCTCCATTTAAAATACAAAACCTTTGTAAAAACTAATTGTAATATTCAGTTAAATAAAAATTATATTTTTTTTAACTTATGAATATCCAGTTATTTAATTATATATATAAAAATGGAGACAAAAAATGTTAGCAATCACATCACAAGAGAACGGCTGGGCCGATTTGGCTCAATTTTTTTAAAATTTGGTTGTCATTGCCAGAAGAAGATTATAGCATAAGAAATTTTTGGGAAAACCTTCTGGAAAATCCCTAGCGGCTCAACAACATGAAAAACCCTACAAAGATCATAGCTGCGTTAAGATTGTGTATCAATGAAATCGACCAAAAAATTATTGAAACAAAAAAATCGAGTTAATAAAGCATTACCAAAGTGAGCTTAAGCAATTGGAAATAATGCCTGCTGTTAGACGATCAAGACTTGGACGACGTTCACGCAATCCAATAAGTAGTCCGAATTTCCGTAATAGTTGGATGCAAGAGAAACGTACAGAAATAGATGCATCGACACGTGCCTAAATGGCACAACTTCGCGCTGCACAAAGACCAGCTCAAGCCCGACAAAATAATAGAGGAAGACGAACCGCATATGAAAATTTGAATCGCGCTGCATTCGCATACAATTCTGAAACACCCTACAAAGATCTTAGCTGCGTTGTTATTGGTGCATTGTCTGTCGTATGTCAGCATTGCAATGCACTGAAGTTTCGGTTTAAAACCCCCGGCTTATGCTGTGCAGGTGGCAAAATTAAATTGCCCGTTTTGGCTCATCCACCAGAGCCATTGTATTCGCTACTATATGGAAATTACCCCAATCAAACAGTTTCCTAAAGTGTAACGGCCAGGAGTTCGAATATCTAAAAGCTTCAAAAGTTTTTTTATAGCTGATTTAAAAAAAAAAATTAGCTATATTAAAATCTGGCATCGCTGAAAAAACAAATGAATTATCTTAAGCTTGCTCTCTTAAGGCAGCTGCATTGATAAGCGCAGCCAACTTTGGTCCAGACAAAGCTTTTCGAGCTTATCTATATAAACCACCCACGCGGCTATATTCGATCTTTTCCGACCAATATAATAAAACTTCACAGACATCGATCTTGTGTTTTGTGCAGTGAAAAATAAAAATTCAGGTTAAATCCGTTTGCGCACATTTTTTTTATACACAATTATTATTGCACCCAAGCGCGTAAATAAATTGCGCCCAAGCGCTTTATTTAATAAATTGTGCCAACGGTTGAAAAAGTGCTTTCAGTTTTCGGGAGAAAAATTTTCTTCTTGGCTTCAATTTCGAGTTGGCCAATGAAAACTTCCTGGACCGCTCGCCAGGAAAACTGCAAATAATCTTTGCAGCCTTTTCTGAAAGGTATGTGTTTTTTTAAACGGCAGAATTAAATTGCGTTTTTCTAACGCCAAATTTATTTCATATTAGTGTTGCCTTTGGAAGCTGAAAAACCCTCCCGACTACGGGAAATAGAGAGAACTACATTGAAAAAATCTAAAGTGAGGAAAACCGTCCAATTGGATCCCGGTTTGAGGAAAAGTCAACCCGAAATCCGCACCTGGCCAGCCCCTAAATCCGCACCTGTACCCAGCAGCGAAAAGCACAGGGCAGCGGTAGCGCTTGGTCCAGCGACGTCGGCAGAGGCAGAGCAGAGGAATGATAAGGCGGAGGCAGCGATCGCACCACGCGTTTTAGGAAAAGGGTTTTGTTGTAAAAAAGTGGTTGTTGTTTTTCTAAGCTTGTTTTGCATTTGATTTTCTTTTGTTCTCTTTTGCTCGGCAAATGCATAAAAAGTAAAGAGTGTTGCGACGTAGAAATGACCTACAATTAAATTAAATTAAAATGCCAAATTAAAGTCGATAGAAATTTTTTTTTCATTCTTACGCTAACTTAAAGTTTCAGTAATTAAAAAAAATATATATATTACATATGAGAAGTTAAATTCAATTTTTTAAAGCTTTTGCCCCCCTTAAGCCTTATGATCATCATGTAACCCCGCTGGAAGGCCTTTCAACGATGGAAAAGTAAACGTGTGAGTAATGCCTTGAACAAAAAAATATATATACATATATATATATGCTAGCTTTAAGTTGAAATTATCTTCTCCAAAATATTGCGTGAATTAAGTATTAATAATAAATAATGAAATAATTGTTTTGATACACCGAAAAAAAAGAACCGCAATGAATTTATGCAATTAAATTTAGAATTGATAATTGATCTACACTGAAAAAAAACATTTTTTTAATTAATTAATTAAAATGTAGTCTATATAAAAAAAATATATATATATAAATATATATATAACAAAATTATTAGAAATACATATTGAAGCAATTAAAGTAAGGAAATAAAGTAATAGTAATATATTCAACCAATTAAAAATGCCATAGATAAGCTTTTTAATTAAAATTATTAGTATTTTTTTTAATGTAGCCTTTAAAAATTTTCTACTTTATCTCGCACCTTTCGCTCATACCCAGCTGTCCTTTTATAAACAATAATGATCCTACACTGGAGAAAAATAGACAAAAAAAAATCTATAGATATAAATTAAATAAATAACAAAATAAAATCACAATCAATATGCAAAGCTAAAGCAAAAATTATAATAGGTAAATAAATAATTTAACAACAACCTTTAAAAATGTAAACTACGCTAAAAGAAAAAGAATTTTCGTAAATTAATAATTCCCTTTATTTTCAATAATCTTATACAACAAAACAACATGAATTAAAAATTTATTATGTATTAACAATTTTTCGTTTAGGTTTAATTTAGTAGCTTTAGGGACTACACTGTAAGAATAAAAGGGATAAAACTTTAGAATTCGATCATTTTTGTAATTATTTCCGGATAATGGATTTGTTCATTTATTCAGACTTGAGTTTTGTTGTGTTTAGGAAATGGAATATATTGTTAACGATTACGAATTAAAGTATTGAGAATTGAAATCATGACGTGCTAATTTTTATTATTTTCTGGATTGACATGGCAACTTAAAACTCGTCGGAGGAATGTTTTGGGATCTTCCGTAATTTTTTTTCCGCTTTGAAGATCATGGTTGGGTAGGGTACAGACAGCGAGAGTCAAATATCACCTAAGACCTTGCTAACCGTTTATAGTTCGCAGTCCGATCCTAGTTTTTTTTCAATGTGTTTGCTTTTAGTATTGGTTGATTTGGTTTAATTCAGGGAGTTGAGCTCCTGTTTATAGTGTCAGTAGGAATCCTAAAAATTAAAGGTTATGTGAATGTGGAATGGAAATGGCAAAAACCCACCCCAAACGCCCAAGAGCTAAGGCACAAGAGGATTCCGCCCGTCATTCTTCCGGACCCGAAGAGAGTGAGAAAGAGAGAGAAGCCCCGAAGACCAGTAATATATTTTCTTCCTTTGTCACACCTCACCCGCACGTTACAAAAGCTTGCACAAAAATATAACGGATGCTTTCAAATCACGTCATTTGGAGCAGAGGTTCTTCATCAATTAGGCTACAATACAAGGTTTAAGGTAATGGCGTCTCTTTATTATCAAAATGAACAACTCACATTTTTTCGAAATTGCGTCCCAACATTCAGATTCAAGGGCAAATTCACCACCGCGCGGGCGCTTTGTTAGCACCACAAAAAAAAAAGATCATAAATTCCTTCAAATCTATTTCATTTGTGATTCGGCAGTTGAACTAAATCACCGCTTTGCAATTGTTACTGCAACTAAACGTGAAATTATCGAACAATTGCAAGATCTTCTCCATGAGAATTATGAATTGGTCAGATTGTTCAAAACCGCATTGGATTAATGCATTATGACGAACACAAAATCATCAGCGCTGTCAAAAGACCCACTGGTAGCCATGCAAGATAATTCAATGCTCCCACTATCAATGAAGACGCAATGGTGATTGTTGGCGAAAATGTGGACTCACGCGATATTGTTCTTAAGCGTAGGGATAATAGCCAATTGCTGCGAGTTTATGAGACTCATCGGTCATATGATGCTCTTCAATGCCCGTTGATGTTGTGTCGTGGAGAAGATGGGTATCACTTCAACATAAAGATGGTCAATCCAACGACAGGTTTGCTTACAAATCATCACTTCTTTTTGATACGATGATGTTTCAACAGTACTGTTTCGACATGTACGTCAAAGTAGAAACGGAACGTCTCAATTTCATTTGTTTTAATCAGTCGAAGTAAAGTTCGCCGGGTCCCCTAGTAAACATTAAAAGCGTGATCGACTATTTTATGCTAGAAAAAACAGCAGTCTAAATAATTTGACAGACGTCTTCCACAGAGCTCTGGATTCTTCCGATCCGTATCTATCCGGAATCTCTTTACACAAGAACTCAAGGGTACAACCTCTTATGTACCCTGTTTATGAAAAAAAACTAAGTAAAAATGAAAATACTGCCAACTGCTAATGTGGGCGGCAGGCATAGGCGTGGTCAAATTTCTAAAACGACAAAATTCGAAATTCGAGAAAAATAGTTCAAGCATATGTGCAATATTTGAGGCCAGTATCTCCAAAATTGGAGTTTATGCTAAAAAAAAAAGAAATTTCCGTCCAATGCGCATTGTCTAGAATAGAGTTTATTAAGCTATGACCAAAATAAAGAGGCATATATTTTTTTTTACTTTTAGCAT